GCTCGGCCGCTTGCTGCGTCTTTGGCCGCCTCACCTTCCCCGCACAGAGCTCTCCTTCTACGTTGCATGTCATCAAGGCTACATTGTCATGCGCAAGACAAAAGGATACGACTTCATAGTTGGATGGAGAGACTCTCAGATCGGGAGGAAAGCCTGAGAGAGTAATCTGACTGGTGTGTGAGTGACTTGACGCGAGTGGTGCATGCGCGTCTGGGAGCGTGTAGGACGTCGGTGTCTTTCGTCCCTATTGGGGCGAGGGAGATCGGGGACTGACCCTGAAGTCTTTCTTCTTAGCGCCGGTTGCCCTCATACTCTAGCCAGTCGTGCTCGAACTCTGGAAAATATTCCTCCAGGAGCAGCCTTAGAATGTTCCTGAACAAGAACTTGAGTAGTCCCACGAAGAATTTCTTTACCATTTGCCACGACAACGTATGCCATATCACCTGACAGATCACTACTAAGCCAGCGCCGAAGAGAAACGCAGTGAGGTTGTGGATGTAGTCTGAACTGGTCTCCTGTACGTGGATCTGGCGAACAGGCTTGCTCGTGAGCTATGAGCCGTCCCGAACTCCTGCGCAGGGTGCTCTCCTCAGATCCCGCTCTCTCCGTCTCTCTCTCCTCTTCTGCAACAATCTGCTCTTCTTTGCCTCCACATGTTTTTCGATTCGCACGCACCTTGCTGGCTTGCGACTGATAGAGACGAGTCGTCATGGATGCATAGTCAGGCTTGCCTTTGTCGTCCTGCACGATGACGTCCTCCACGCTGACTTTCATGCCCTTGGTCTTAAACAGCTTGAGAGTGTGCTCGAACTGAGGTGCGGAAGGAAGAGGTCAGTAAGCGGAGGCGATGATGGCTGAGCGCGAGCCCGGAGAGCACCCACCACTCACAATCTCCTTGTTTTTAGCATGCTTGCGAAGCTGATCAACAAATTTAGCTTGGAGCTCTTTGGAGCTGGCGCGAGTAAACTTGAGGGCATCGTGGGCGCGATTCTGGAGTGCTCTGGAGCCCGTGCGGTCATTGATTGCTTCGCGTAGAACCACAAAGTGCAAATTGTTCATGACTGGATGCTCTAGATTGGCCTGCGCCCCCGCTGCCTCAAAGGCAGTGTCTTCGGCATCCAGAGTGAAAGGATTCTCGTAGCTGACCATTGTGCGCAGCGTGACCTTCAATTCGTCGTCCAGACAAAGTTGGAGGACAAGAGTCGATGATTTGCCTTGATTGTCTGAGAGCAGAGAGGAAAGAGATGCGACCACGACGAGTTTATACGAGAGCGGCGAACTCGAAGAATGTACAAGCGACACGACCCGCAGTCCAGGCGGGCGTTGAGGGTGTGGTAGAAGTGGATGATCGCTTCCTAGGAGCATTCGTCATCGATATTGGAGAGTCTTGGGGCGCTATTCGATGCCTCAGGTTTCTATCATAGGTCAAGCCTCTCAAGACTTCGGCGCGGGTTCTGCCGCGCGCTCAGGCCACCACTTGCCGTGAGCATCAACACTCGCGTTCTGGATTTCGTAATTCAACATCCACGTGTCTCGCTGCCATGCAGCGAAGGTCAAAGTGGCCGATTGCCAACTTTGAACTCAATTGCGAGATGTGTGGGACTCGATCAACGATCACGGACTGCGTTGCAAAGTAAGCAATCCCAGTCACGATTCGAATCGCATTTCTGTCGGGATGGTTTAGATACATGCGAAATTGGCGTTCAGACTCTTCCACAAATCGTGAATTGATTCATAGCTTCCAATGAACGTAGAGTGCTGTACGGTCGATGTGGACACAAAGTTGAGTCTTGGGTTGGAGATTGCGGTTGACGAGAGCGGCTTGCTGTGTTGCTTAAGGTACATGGAGTAGAGGTCAATCATCGCCCGTGACGATCGCTATGGGATGCGAGAGAAGCTTGATCGAAGAGTAGATTGGAGAGTGTGACTCGGCACCTCCGTACAAGGCGCGCCTGACTTTGGTCTGGGAGAGCCCAGGAACAGTGACACGTACTCGAGCTCCGCCGGGATAATAGCATAGGAGACTGACTCAAGAAGCGGAATTTTGTCCAAGGTTTTGTCATAAAGGTCGTGCGTCGGTAGTTTGATCTCGAAGGGAGGAGGGTG